GAAAGAAGGAAAGGAAGGCTCAAATTGTGAAAGCTATGGAAGTCTGATGTGTTTCTTCACCATTCTCATGCTGACTTCTGAGGGTCTTCCAGGGGATACTCCATACTTATCAGCAAAGCATGGCTGTACTCTGGGAGCCATGACCAGAAGCCATTGCATTTAGCATGATGGGGACAAGTAGCAGTGGCACTGCTTCTGGGGACAAGTAGCAGGAGCAGTAGCTCCAGACGGCCAGGCTCCGGTTTTGAGTAGTGCACGCTGCCCCACTTATTTTTTGGCGTGCGCTTTTTTGACCCCAGGATCTCCATGGGGTCACAAACCCGCCCTGTGCTGCACAGTAGCAGTGCAGGGAATACTTGCATGTGTGGTGTGTGGCTCTGCAGATGGGTTTGTGGTGCCACAGACTGCTTGTCTGGACATCCAGTGGAGTGCAATGCTGGTGCTGGTGCTTACATAGGGATGTAACCACAGCACACCACTGACATGTGTTGAGGCCATGCGTTGGACCAGGTTCACAGATTTCATAGACATTAGGGCTGGAAGGGACCTCGGAAGATCATCGAGTCCAGCCCCCTGAGTGATCATGGGACACCAGATCAAAGGCTTTTTTAAAAATCAAAATATATGACGTCAATCTCTTCTCCCTTGTCCAGGTGATATGTCACCTGGTCATAGAAGGAGATGAGATTGGTCAGGCAAGACCTACCCACAACGAACCCATGCTGGCTGTCCCTCAGGATGTTGCCATCAGACAGTTTGTCAAAAGTGGTCTCTTTGATCATTTTTTCCAAGATCTTCCCTGGGATAGAGGTCAGGCTGATGGGCCTGTAGTTTCCCGGATCTACTTTCCTCCCTTTCTTGAAGATAGGCACCACATTGGTCTTCTTCCAATCTCTGGGCACTTCACCTGAGTGCCATGAGTTCTGGAAGATCCGTGCCAAGGGCTGAGCTATGATGCTAGCCAGCTCCTTGAGTCCCCTGGGGTGTAAAATGTCTGGGCCAGCTGACTTGAAGGTGTCCAGCCTCTCAAGGTGTTCCTTCACATGGTCTACATTGATGAAGGGTAACAATTCCCCCTCACCCTGGCCATCCCATACTGTATTGAGCAGGGCCATCCCATGGGGCTGGTGAAAAACCACACTGAGTTAAGTATGGGCAATGTAATTCTCTAGTGAAAACAAGCTTTGACCAGTATAAACCAAATTCAGAGACAAACTAAGCAAATAAAACCCAATTCAGTGGAATTGTATCCATCTTCAGTATTGGCCAACTAAACCATTACAGAAAGAATTAAGCATCCAGAAACTAAAATTTGGATCAAATTCTGAGTGATGAACACATCTGAAAGCCCCGTTCCTGGTCAAGTGGCTCATATATAGCAGGATTATCAGGACAGTTTTAGTTTGTCCTGGCTTTTCATTGCTTTGTGTTCACTAGGAACAAAAAGAGGTACAAACAAGCATTCTGTTTTATTTTCTTTGCTTGAGTGTGCGAATGAGGAAAATCAAACTGAACAAACTGATCACACTCCAGCAAGGAAGTTCAAACTGAACAAATTAGCAAGGGTCAAAGTTTGTGGAACTGAATGCTGTTTGAAGAGGAAAGAAAAATCAAATGGAAGTGGATACACTGGGCAAGTCTACATGAGACGCTAACTGCGCAGTCGCCTAATAGTAGCATGCTGTGCAAAAACCATGCTAAAAGTTACTGCACAGTAATATTAGGCTCCAGCACAGTAAGCATCACTAAAAACCTGTGCTCCATTGCTACTGCACAGTAGTGCAAGTTACTGCACATTGATTTAGTACTTGGTTAGCCACGTACTAAACTTAATGCTCAGTAACTACAGCTCATTAATGAACATATAGACACACTCACTCAAGGATATTTTTTGATCAGACTGACGGCAGTGTTTCATGTAAGATCCAGCAGAATGCTAACATACAGAAACAATATCCTTTACCACAGAATGATGCCTGTTAAGCTAGAATTTGGCAGATGCAACCCTGCATGCATTTTTAAGGTTTATTTTTGTCTTTTATATAGATTATATATGAGCCTGAAGATGTCACCAAAGCATGCCAGATTTTGAAAACATGGTCGTTTTAGTCAGGTGTCTTCAAAACGCCCTGTTTGATTAACTCAAAACCAGACTTGAAAACTGTTATCTGGCAAAGTGAGGGCACCAGAAATAAATCCTAGCTAGCTGTCCTAATTTCTGAGAAAGTTAGGAAGGAAAAAAGACAATCAAATTAGTAATGGAAAGAGAGAAATTCTGTGGGATGAGTGTTATGCTTAAAGCTACAAATTATCCCAGTACTACTTGCAATCATTTTCCATTTTCTTTCTGAAAACATTTGTATGCATTTAACTTGCAACTGGCTTTTGTCAACATTTTTATGACTATAACAAGTTTTATATAGAATAAAGTACTTGTGATAACAAAGATTCACACAGCTACTTGCTAATGCATGGGTTTACATCAGAAGGATTTGCATAACTTTCTTTAAAATGACTTAGATAGTTCTGATCATCTAATTCCTTTTATTTTTAGCATGTCAGTCATCCACTATGGAGTAGAAATGATACCCCATGATGAGTGACCAGCTACACTGAGCAGACAGTCAATAGTTGAGAAAAATAGTCATGATACAACAACTCATTAGCACAAGGGTTAAAAATCATTATTTCTTATTTTGAATAATGAACAAATTAGCAAAGATCAAAGTTTATGGAAAACCTGCAAGCAGAAAAAGAGCTACATTTGCTATAGCTTGTTATAATTACCTCACCCAGCTTTAGTTATAACCTTAATTATGGAGAGAAAATGCTGTCTCTCCATAATTAATAAAGTAATAATTATTATGAAACAGCCACCTGGATTCCTATGAAAACTGTATCAGACAGATGGTCCAATTCTTTAAATAATTATAAACTGAATCATTTCCTAGTCAAGCAAGTAGATGAGAAAAACATGAACATATGCATCCTCCCTGGAGAAAAATCAAAGCAGGACAATAAACTAATTTCCTCTCCCTGGACAAAGATGTAGAAAGAGAGGAGAGTCCCTTAACCTTTCTGAAATCTCTGGAAAAACTCTGACAGCCTTTTCTCATATTTAATTTCCTACCCACAGAATATCACTGTTTCATTGTCACGCGTTACAAGAGACACTTTGATCTCAAAAAGATGACGTTTCAACCAGTGCTATATAGTAGCTGCCCTTAAAAAATTTAAAATATAAAAAATGGACTATATCATGTATTTACTATTCCACATAACATAAAAATCATAATATGAGAACGCAGTAGCTCCAGGCAGTGACATTCAAAATAAAATGTCATTATTCCCCTAAATGAAAATTTCTCAACCCCCCAAAATATATCATTTGGAAATTTTCTATAAAAATCATAAGATTTTGCAAACAATTTAGGCATGGGTAGATCTAAGATTTTGAAAAGGGAGGTGCTGATGGTGTGGCACTTCATCACAAATAACATTTTTCGATAGTCAAACAGAAACTAGAAGCTTTACTAATATGTCAGAGGTCTAGCACTACAGTATTCAGTTTAAAATCAAAGCAAAAAAATGTAACTTTACTGGAAGGTATGCTAATTTGCTAGATTATATATAAAGTTTAAAAAATACAAAAAAACTAGCCAAAAAACCTCAAAATACTTAAAAGAGATTGCTTCATTAGTCCTGCAGTCACTATAGTTAAATCTTACTCAGGTTTGTAAAATAAAATCCAGCTTTCTTGACAGTACCTTCAATATTTCACTGTCAGTCATTTCTATACCTGAGTTAATATTACCGCATGTGAATTAAGGTTTTAAACTAGATTTAAAAAAAACCCGTTGGCAGAGTTGTGGAATAGAAGAAAGACAGTACCAGGAGTGGCTAACAGATAGCTAAAGCACACAAGAAAAGATAATTTGAACAGTGGAACATCAAGACCATTAAAAAGGAGCAAGGGTCATTAACACCTGTGGAGTGGAGAGAAATTAGTAGGAATGAGGCAGATTATAATGAGCCACTAAGTCAATTGACTCCGTCAGTGTTGCCTGAATAGAAATGCCACTGTCACCCCAGGCAGTTGCTTTGAAAGTTTGGGTGGAGCAGGAATCAAAATGGGGTATAGCTGCACCACAGCACCCACCCTGGATCTGCCCCTGGACTCAGTCTTTATTGAAGACAGTTTTTCCCAACCAAATGGTCTTTCAGTAAAAATGTCCTGTCCAGCTCCTGTTGGGAGTGGGACAGCTGATGAAGGTGAATGGTCTTCACTGAGAGTGGAGCTGGGGCTGTAACGATGCTGAACTGTACACCTTGATTTGGGTGATGCCTGTCTGCCTTGGCCAGAGCCTCCCCAAAAAACAGTTTCCCTGGAAGATCTCTCTTCAGGTAGCTTCCCTCGCCAGGTTTTCCTCACCTCCAGTTTTATACTCCAGCACTGCCTCTCCATTCCCTTTGGATGTGGTCACAGAGCAGCGGTAGGTGCCAGCATCAGAAAGCTGCACATCTCTGAGCATCAGGGATGCATTCCCACTAATCACCTGCTCTGCAAAGACTGCCGTGCGGCCCTGGAAAGTCTCGTCCTGGCTGTGCAGCTGGTCCTTGCCATCTCGGTACTCGTGGACCAGCCCAGCAACACCATCCTTTACCCACTGAATTACAACATTGCTGAGTTTGATGTCAGGCTCAAATGTGCAGCCCAAGATGCTGTTCTCTCCAATGTTCCCAGCAGAGGTCAAAGCAGTGACGCTGATGGAGTGTCTACCTGCAACAAGAAGCACAGATCCAGTGGCAGGGCCAGGAGAACATCGGGGTACAAAGAACAGTAGCGGCAAGCCAGGACTCTGGAAGTACTCATGGGCCTCTGCTGAGTGAGACCAATGAATCCAGAGGCAGGAGTACCTCTTATTTTTGTTTAAAAAAAATAACAACTTGTACAAAACACCTGTGGGGTACCTATGTGACATCCCCCTCTATTCTTAATAGCAGGGTCTAGCAAAAGAACAAGGTAAGAACTTTTATCAGCATCACAAAACCCCACAATCTTTCTTTGCCCAGTTACTTTTGAGGGGAGGGTTAGATTTTTTCTTACTTTCTCTTTTCAAACAGCTGATATATATAGGGTTCGAATTATACTCTGACTCTTGGAGGGGTCTGCAGCAGTGCCAGCCAGAGGCAGGAAGGAGCTGCCGCCTCCACCTGAGCTGCTTAGAAAAGCGTGGGGTGGACTGGGGGCTCTCGTCTCTTATGCCAATTGCCTGTCAAGATTGACGGGGGCTGGGGGGCAGGCGGGGACAGAATGCCGCCACCTAGTGCACCGTGGTGCACCGTGGTGCCACCGATCCGCCTCCAGCCCCGTGCCCCAGAGTGAGTCACTAACTAAAGGCCTGTGCCTTCTAAGACAAAACTCCTCTCTTTCCTTTGGCTCACCTACAAGCCCCCAAGCCACACTGCCTATAGCCCAAGGATGAAACAAGAAGAGAAGGGAGGAGACTGGATTTAAGTGACAGGAATGATGTTGCCCAGGAACTAAGAAGGCAGGTTCAGAAGGCAAGAGAACAGGAGTCTGGTCTCAGACAATTAAGCACTTCTGTCTTCTTCATCATACTGCCACCCAGACGGAGCCCCTGGTTCCGGGCTCCACGCAGACGGAGCCCCTGGCTCTCGGCTGCGGGGGCTGCCCGTCCCTTTTTCAGGCTCTGGGGCCTGGGAGCATGGTGACCTCCCCTTGTGAGGTCTGCTCCCTTTTGGGGTCTCTGGCGCGCCAGCTGGAGGAGCTCCAGGCCACAGTCCAGAGACTGCGTGCCATCAGGGACTGCGAGCAGGAGATAGACTCCTACTGCCAGGCCCTTCTCCCCCGGGAGGCGGAGGGTAGACCACAGTCTCCCTCCACGCCAAAGGAGGACTCCGGGACCTCCCGCTCTGTCCAGCCAGGGGCATGAACCACGGTGGTCAAGGGCCCTAAGGCCCGCCGCACCAAGGCCCCTGCCCTGCCAGAGCTGAGCAACAGGTACACACCTCTTGCTGCTCCAGCAGAGCCTGCTGAGTTGCCGGCTCCCACAGGCAACATGGTCCCAACTGCAGCTCCC